AGGCCCTAGGTTCCAAAAAGCCAGCTCATGCACCAAGGACAGGTCCTGGTTCCACTGCCTGGGGACCTCCTAAACAGTTCAAGCTAATCAACTGTCTCACTTATCCAGAGGGCCTGGTGCAGTTCCATGGGGGCTCTTCAGCTATTCACAGTTCATGTGTTTCCACTAGTTTGGCTATTTGTCCCTGTGCTTTTTCCAATCATGGTCTCAATATCTCTTGCTCATAGAATCCCTCCTCTCTCTCGCCGATTGGACTCCTGGAGCTCCACCTGGGTCTTGGCCATGGATCTCTGCATCTGCTTCCATCAGTCATTCGATGAGAGTTCTATCATGACAGTTAGGGTGTTCGGCCATCCAATCACCAGAGCAGGTCAGCTCAGGCACTCCCGACCATTGCCAGTAATCTATAGTGGACGTATCTTTGTGGATTTCTGGAGACCTCTCTAGCACTTTGCTTCTTCCTATTCCCATGGGGTCTTTATTTATCCTGGTATCTCTTTCCTTGTTCTCCCTCTCTGTTCCTGATCCAGCTGGATGCACAGCATGAACCCATAACACACACACACACACACACACACACACACACACACACACACACACACACACACACAATCATAAAAAAGGGGAAAGTATGAAGAGACGGAAGACAAAAGGGAGGAGTGAATTAAGGAAGGGAGGGATATAGACAATGTAAGAAAGAAAAAGAGAAGGAGAAAGAAATAAAGGAAAGAAAGAAATAGAGAAAAACAGACAGGAAAGGAGAGAGAGAGAGAAATGGAGAGGAGGGGCATTTGGCAGAGAGGTTTCTTCTTTTGAAAATGTTTACTAATCAGCTGTGCATAAATTATCTAGGCTAGGATTATTATATATGGTCACTTATTAAAAAGAAGACTTTTAAAAAATATATGGGAAGGGTCGGGGGAAAGAGGGCTTAGGGGAGTGGGAGGTCCCTCCTCTGTTTCTTACAAAAGCTAATAAGATCCTATTAGATGAAATTAACCAAATACAAATACTGCCAGTATTTTACTCTCTTGTTCTTTTCAGCGTTTGACAATGAATTTCTTTGTTCTGATGTATCTGTGGCTCATGGGCATACACACAAACACACAGCTTCTAACAGAGACTCACGCAGTTTCTTTCGGAGACCACGCCTTTCTCACTGAAGCTTTGCATTTAAATCCGTTGTCACTCCTCTCCTTTGTCTTGTCGAAAGCCTTTTTGTCAATCCATCTAATTTAATCTTTCTAGAATAAAAACTTGACCTATTTTTTTCTCAATCAACATTTTTCAAGAATCCCTCGTCTATGACTTAGAACCGTTTTCATCAGGTCATTATCTTCCCATTAAGGCAAACTATGGTCTATGCTCTCCCTGAGTTTTGAAAGTAAACATTTTAAAAATGTTTAAAATGTTGAAGTAAAGTTTAAACTGTTATTAGATTTATATAAAATTTGCAGTGTTGATATGAAGTGTTCTCAAGGCACCTCCCACAATACACACAGTTTTTTCCAAAGGCAAAATATTTTGTTGTCATGTAGTGTGTTTTAGAAAGACTTGTGCCCTCAGAGTTTCATAAAGCTTCATGCTCTGGAAGATTAGACTCCAATGTGCTGATGCCCAGGTGGTAGTATCTTTAAGAGGTGGGGTCTAGAGAAAGGCAATTCATGACTACTCCAAGAATGTTAATGAACTACTAAGAGGAATCCCTCGACTGCGTAGAGTGAGGTTGAATAGCTTCCCTCTATTAAAGAAATGCCACATCTGTGGAAACAAACTGATCCCACATGAACACAGCTAACCAGTGAAGTCCATCACACTGCCAGCTGTGGGACACATGCCCTAGCTTTGATGCTCTGTAGGCCAAGTTCTAGGCTGAGCTCAAGGAAACAGAGGCAAGTTCTAAGCTGATTACTACACAGAAGATTTGTAAATGATCAGGGCTAATCCATCAGTAAGATGTTGATAATTGTGGCTTTGTGTTCCCACCAGACTGTTCACAGCTAAGTGTTTGGAGCCACTTTGATTATTTTCTATCTAAAGCCTCTTTAAAAATCCTCAATCTGTAGGACCATCTACAAAATACTCCCACACTTAAAGTTCAGCAAACACTTCAGAACAAGGACAGAAAGACTGTTATGAGTCAGAGGATAAAGGGGTTTGCTGTGAGATTGTGTCTCTTAAGTAATGCCAGAAGCAACACCCATATAATCTCACCATGACTGCCTAAATGTGAGCAGAACAAGGATAGGACAATAGATATGCTAAAATGGGAAGCCGGGTAGGGGACAGCACCCACAAGGTCTCAACCCTACACTAAGAACTACAGGCGACTAAGAGATGCTGAGATATGGGAGAAATAGTCTTCTCCAGAAAAGAGCACTTGAATTGGTTGTTGAATATCAAATGGCCAGCACTAAAACCATACGAGTAACATACAGAATGAGCAGGATATATTTAGAAATATTTATGTATGTACATACACATAATGTATGTAACAAGAGTCAATGAAAAAGGAGGCTTTGTATTTGAAAGAGAGTAGGGAAGGTATATGGGAAGGTTTAGAAGAAGGAAAAGAGAGGGATAAATTATGTAATTATATTATAATCCCAAAATTAGAGGAAGAAAGAGAAACTTCATTTGGAAGGTGTTAGGGGAGTGTCGTTTTTCCCCCAGAAAGATTTCAGAAAGGAACAAAGATTTGTCTTGAGACACTTTTAGTTGTAACAATGACTGGAGATAGGCAAAGGCTTTTGGTGGGTATTAAGCAATCATTTGAATGACCTGCAAGACAGAACACCACAGTGGAGAAATGGGTGTATGCATGGGAGGGGGTAATGATGACTGGCAGTCTGGATTTGTCTAGTACAGATTAAATAATAATACAACCACATCCTTTCCGGTAATGGAAAATATGCCTTCCAGAACTGAACATAGATTTTGAAACCTTTAAAATTGAACATTTTAATATATAAAAGTCAAGATTCATGGAAGATAAAAAGACTATCTACCATCTTCGATAGCCTATTTTAATGTAATTGTCATTTGTTAGCTAGATGACAATATATTTTTAAGATTTGCTTTTGTGTTTTGATTATGCATATCAATGTATATTTGTGTAGGTATATGTCACATGTGTGAAGATACCCTATAGGCCAGAGCAATACATCAGATCCCCTGGATCTCAAGTTACAGATGATTGTGAGTGGAATGATGTGGGAATTGAAAACTAAAGAGTCCTTTGAGAGAGCAGCTCTGCTTCTAACTGCCGAGCCATCTCTCCAGATGAACAATGTATTTTTAATCAACTAAAAACTACAAATTTTTAGTTTTCAGAGATAGCTCAGAGGTTAAAGCACTTGCTGTGAATACTGGACTTAGTTTCCCAGAGCCCACAGAAGAGTGGATTGGGCAGAGTGGCCTGTCTGTAATCATGGACTCAAAGGCAATGACAGCAGATCTCAGAGCAAGCTGGCTAGTCAGATGACCCATAGTGGTGAGCTCTGGGTTTGGTTGAGAGTTCTTATCTCAATAAATATGGTAGAGGAGTGATCAAGGATGATTATTGACATCCATCTTGGCCGCCCACATACACATACCCATATACACCCACACTCACATGCACCCACACATATGAATACACATACGCATATGCATACAAACAAACACATGAAAAGAAAAAATAACCACATGTTTTCCTCACTTAATGTGTCTTCTAACAGCCTTTTCATGGTACTTCTCAAATATACATTGTCCTAAAAACAGCATCTTCCCCATGTGTTTTTGTTTCCTCCCCTCCCAGCCCCTCCCTCTCTCCTCTCATCATCCCCTTTTGTTCTCTCTCTCTTCGCTCCCTCTCTCCTCTCTCTTTCAATCTCCCTTCATTGTTATCCTCAGTCATGCCAAATCAAACACTAGCATGTATTGCCGTAGGAGAGCATGGTTATTTTGTCCTTGCTTTTATTTCCCTGTTCATTCAGCCCATTCCATCTGTGTGATTGCCAAGGCCTCTGATAGTACTCATTTTGTGTCCTTTTCTTCTTACTGAGATATGCTTGAAGAAGACTATCACTGTCCAGTCAAAAAAAAAAAAAAAAAAAAAAAAGGACAGGGAATAGAGGCAGTGGGGAGTCTGTGAGTGATGATATTGCTTCAACAAAGTCACTGCTGTCTTCTGTGAAGCATCAGTGCCTTGGTCTCCTTTTTTCCTACCCAAATTGTGTTCCTTGGTGACTCCAGGTTTCTTTACAAGGGGAGCCATGACCTGCAGAGGGCCTCCATCTTTCTGCCTGGAGCTGGTGGTCTCATTGGTGTCACAGTTCACTGTGGTCGGAGCTTGTTAGCAGACATACTGACTTTGATTTCAGGCCTTTACATTCCATTATTTTCTTCAAGCATGTTTTCATGTACAGTGAGGGTATCTGTGATAACAAATGATATGCCCTGTACTTAAGATGTCCTAATATAAAAATGTAAACCAGCAAATTAGCCAGACATCAGAGCAGGCTGATTCTAGGCACCCCAAAACAGAAACAAGTGTAGGGAAGCATATCTAAGACACAAAATATTCAGTAAGCCAGTAATCGGTAACTCCCATTTCCTGACATAAATAACCATGTAAACAAAGGAGCCTTTGGAAACTCTTCAATATTTCAAGTTGAAGAATATTACTTTTTGTTTTGCCAGAATCTTGAAGTTCATATTTTTAGCCTAATCTGATTCAAAATAGGACTAGAAATAGCGCAACTACTGACATACTGGGGAAATTTTAATTCCCAAAAGTTACAGCTGGGAATTTGGGAGAAAACACACCAGGTTTGCTCGACTGTTCTTAAGAAATGATGCAGATTTCCGAACAAGATGGGAAGTAGGAGAAAGACAAGTGTCCCTACCTGTAGACAAATTTCTAAAAGGTCTTATTAAATAAAAAACACAGAGCCAAATATAGAGGTGAAAGCCTTAGAGAGATCAGGGAAATAGGGAAAGCCACCAGCCAACCTTACCTCACCAACTCTGCAGCTTCCAAATGTGAGCTCCTTTCTGTCTTACCCACGCCTTTATTGCTTTGCTGTTCTGTACTCTCATTGACTCTTTTAGCCCAGCTACCTCACTTCTTTGTCACTGTCTGTCTGTACAGACCTCCAGGTCTCTATGGTTGGTACTGTGATTAAAGGTGTGTGTCACCACGCTTGGCTTTATTCCCTAGTATGGCCTTGAACACACAAAGCCCCTGCCTGATAAGTGATTGGATTAAGGGCGTGTGCTGCCTGACTTTTTGTTTACTTAAAATGGCTGGCCTTTTCCCCTGATCTCCAGGCAAGCTTTATTAAAGCACAAATAAAATATCACCACACCTACCTCCGTCACAGCCACCACCTTCAGAACCACAGGCACAAAAGCCAGCTATTGAGATGTTTGGGTATCTGAGAGGCTTGGGTTTCATTTCTCTTTTTCTTTCCTTTTTAAGTAGCAGCGGGAGAGCTGTCAGTGTTCCTGAGACTACAGATGAATAAAAACCAATTTTAAGAAAGGTGGAAACTTTTGTATTCCCTGCTTTAAAAGCCAGAGCCAAAGGGACTAGTTTACATTATCATAAAGCTTTTAATTCCCTACCCATGCCTCCCTGGATACCCCTCAACTGTGAATATACATCACTTCCTAGAATGCTGGGTGTGTAATAGAACTCCCCTATACATTTCTTCCTCTACTGAATATCTTGATAGAGAAAGCACAATGGCTTAGTTTACAGTACAAAATATCTCTGTCCCAAGTCCCCAACCCCTGACTGTTTACAATGCCCTGAAAATAAATTATACATCTTGACTTCCTAAGAAGAATCAAGTTCTTAATGTTCTTACATTTTCCCAAACTCCATATATATACCACAAGCCCTAGTTTTTATTTTTTACGTTAGAATTCCCATAAAGTTTATAGCAGCTTCCTTGCCTACTATAGAGTGCTCGGAAACCTTCAAATACCTTTATTTCTGTATATGGTTGTAGCACTATCCTGTTTTTGCTGTTTTGAACTGTATTGGAATCCAGCCTTTGAGTGTACATTTGTCTAAATCTACTTGTGTACCACCAGTACATGTATATGTGAATCTCTCTCTCTCTCTCTCTCTCTCTCTCTCTCTCTCTCTCTCTCTCTCTCTCTCTCTCTCTCTCTCTGTGTGTGTGTGTGTGTGTGTGTGTGTGTGTGTGTGTGTGTGTGTGTGTGTGTGTGTAAAGGAGGAAGTTGGGGGGTCTGAGATGCAGGTAAAGCCACAGGGCAAAGTCACAAGGCAGTCAGTGTGATTATCTTCTGGACTGAAATGTTACCAAGCTCCCCAAGTGCATACTCTTCTCTAGTCAAACGCATAAAGAAATGGCTCAGCAAGGTGCTATTTTCTCAGTCTAGGAAAAGGGTAGCATTTCCCAGTGGGGCAAATCGTAATGGATCGGATGACAATATAGCACTGTGGTTTTCTTAGGAGAAAATGCTCCAGAAAATTAACACTTTTCAACGATACAAAGGCTGACAGCTTCTATCTTTGGCCCCCAGAAGTGCATAGGAGCACTGCCTATGTACAGGCTGCAGGGTATCTCCAACAACAATTCGGCTAATGCAGCAACAGTGTCTGCCCGGGACGTTGGGAGCACTGGGCTAATTGTACCATGTCAGATGGTAGGTGTGTCAGTGGTAAAATTTTAAGAGGCACATCAGTGTAGCTTTATGCTGCATAATACACACTGATTAGGCAGCCGTGTGGTGCAGCAGCAGTGTGCTTAGTGCTGACTGGTAGCTGCCAGTGTCAAGGCCAACTTAAGATGCAGAAAAACACCATGGGCCTGGAGAGATGGCAGAACTGCCACTCCAGAGTGCTTCTTGGGAGATTAGCTATTTGCTAGGAGAAAGAGGGGGATGCAAACAACATTAGGTCTCTTCTGGGAGGCTTTACAGGTGCCCAAGACTCTAGTCAGCTGACTCACTCCCACACTTGCCATGTGTGTGTATCCATGCATAAAGTATGCATTTGTCTGTGTTCATGTGTGTGAATGTTTGTGAGAGCATGTACACATGTACACATGCATTTGGAGACCTGAGGTCAACATTGAGTGTCTTCTTAATTTTTCTATTATGATACTTGATTTCTCACTGAACCTGGAACTTGTGGATTAGGTAAGATTGATTGGCCAACAAGGCCCAGGAATCCAAATGCCCACTCCCTGCCCCCTAGTCCTGGTATTACAGGTGTTTGTTGCCATGGCCAGCTTCTTACATGGGTTCTACCTCAGGCCTGAATGTCTAGATGGCAAGCAGTTTACAGAGTGAGATATCTCCTCAGCCTTCACTTCCTTCTTTCTACTTCTGGACTTAAACCCTTAAATGAGGCTCTGGAAATCAATAAAACCAGGACCTGCAACTGCCAGGCAAATCTGCCATCCTCGCACATCAGATCCCCAGTAAGGGCCCAAGGATATTTACCTTTGTTACTTCATCTCTCCCTGGTTTTCTATGAAGGTTAATGGGCTGGCCTTTGGTCTTCATCTGTACAGGTGGCTTTCTTGGCATTTTTCACCTTGGGCCTTGTTTCTCTGACCCCCATTAGGGATGGTCTCTACTAACTTCTATGGAAACTGTACCTTGTACTCTTCAAAATCTGTCTCTTAAAACTGTCCTTTATGATAGTTGTTTTGCTTAAATCACAGACTGCATCCTTTCCGGACTCTCAGTGCCTAGTTTGGCACATGGTTAGCAACCAAGAAATGGTGTTAATGACCATGATGGTTAGTGCTGCAAACTCCATAGGATCTAGAATCACCTAAATGATGAGTCTCTGGGCACGCTTGTAAGGGATTATCTTGATTGTGTTCATTGAAGTGGGATGGCCTGTCTACTCTGGGTGGTACCATTCACTGGGCTGAGGTCTTAAACAGCATAAAATGAAGACATTAAGCTGCATTTACAAATCTCTACTTCTTGACTGTGGGTGCAGTGTGGCCAGCTGCCTCCTGTTCCTGCTACCATGCCTGTCCCATCATGCTAAACTTTAACCTGGAACTGTATGCCAAAACAAACCTTTTCTCTCTTAAGTGTCTTTGGCCAGGGTATTGTTTCACACTAACAGGAAAAGAAATGGAAACAATAACTGTCACTGTTTCTATTATTTTCAACAGGATTCCGAAAGCTCAGCCCAGTGCTTAGCTGTGGATCTCTGCATTTGTTTCTATCAGTTACTGGACAAAGGCTCTCTGGTGACAATAACCGTAGTCACCAATTTGATTATAGGGGAAGGCCAGTTCAGGCACCCTCTCCACTATTCCTAGGAGTCTGAGCTGGGGTCATCCTTGTGGATTCCTAGGTGTCAACACACTTACATTCACTTTATGTCACAACAGATAAAAGACATCGGTTTTCAACTTATCACTAATAAGCATCTTTAATACCCAGACTCTGATGTTATAGTTCGGAAGAGACACATAAATAGTAATTGGAAAGACAGATAAATATACAGTTAAAAAAAAGAATCAAAAGTAGGAAGAATATGTGAAATCATAATAAAAATAGTCATTCCCAGTACCCTGGGGGAATTTGTCCCAGGACACCAAATTCACAGACAATCATATATGTAAAACAGTACTTGCATGTCATCTACATACATTAGCTGATCTAGATTTTTGTAAGAAATAGTTGGTAGAATCTATGTATAAAGACTCAAAAAATGTGCATAGCCAACTGTCTAAATGATATGCAGTAACAGTGCATTTAAAATTTAACTGGCACTACACTCAGAAGGAAGAGGAAGGAGGATTCTGAGTTCAAGGCCAGCATAGCTACTTAGTTCAAGTCCAGTCAGACCTACATGTCAAAAATGCTAAGACTGAGGATGTGACTCCCTATTAGAGTACTTATCTGGCATGCACAAGGCCCTGTGCTTAATGCTCAGCACCAAACACCAGCTAATTTAATCATTCTTTCTTTTTTACTTTCTTTATATTATTCTGTGTCTTTCACATCATGCTTCTTGATCCCATTCATTTCTCCATTGCTTCACATCCACCCTCCACTCCTGAAACCCCTCCAAATAAAACAAAATTAAAGAGATAAAAAGGAAAAAATTAAAAATCTCATCATGGAAGCTACAGTGTGACACAGTGAGTCACGCAGTAAACCCTTTGTCCACACATCTTTACTTGCAAGTGTTCATTGCAGAGTCATTGGTCTGGTTCGAGGTCTCTGGCTTCTACTGTACTATTGATGCTGGATTTTCACTGGGACTCTTCTCTGATATTCTGTCATTGCCCTGTGTTGTGGAGATCCTGCAGCTTTGGGGCTGAGGTCAGGTCCCTTCACATGCTCCAGCAGATCATAGATGGGGTGAATGTTGGGGCAGGCCAAGTTATAACTCTGACTCCAGGCCTGGGCAGCTGCAGGGTTGGTCAGCCTGCCTGTTCTTGTTCTCCCTTGTCCTTACCACTAGGGTGAACTCTCCAGCACTGGTGACAATTGACTCCCTTGCAGCAATGAGCTAGAGGCAGAGCCAGTTCTCCTGCTATCATGCCTCAGAGTTGGCTCTCCCACATCTATACCAGCAGTCTACTGTGTTGACTAGGTAAGGTACAGGGGTCATTCTCCTGAGAATGCTGCAGCTAGGTAGGAGCAGGGACAGTCCTCCAGCACCTGTGACCCCAGGGCCAGCTCCTTCACCTGTCCCAGGCATCCATGGGGCAAGGCAGGGCATCTCTCTTCTGTCCATGCTGCCACACGTCAGATGAGTAATGGGGACAGCCCTCCCCCACCAAACACACACACACACACACACACACACAACATCAGGGCTGGGTTACCCACACCTCCAACAACAGAGCCAGCTCTGATGTGCTGCCCAGGGGAGGAGCAGGACCACTTTGCTGAGAACTGCATATGATAAGGAGGAGGGTCCTCTCTCTTCTCTGTTGCAGGTGATAAGGGGCAAGGGGTAAGGGGAGCATCTCTTCCCCACCAACACTGTCCACTGACAGACAAGTAGTAGGGATAGCTCTTCTACACTTACAGCTTTGGGGCTGGCTCACCCACACCTCTGCTGAACAGGGCTGGCTCTATTGTGTGCCCAGGTGA